CCAATCCTCCGTTCAAGTCTCCTGCTTCTGCTAACTTCTTGTCTCCGTTGATTGCCCCTCCTCCCTCCCTCCTCCCTTCTGTCTTCACAGACCCGTTCCCATTCATCTCATCTCCTCCCTTGACTCTCCTTGCATCCGAGACCACTAACTTCCTGTCCCTCCTCGCTCTCCCCCTAGTCAGCAAACGTTCCGTCCCGTTGCTCTCCTGCGCAAAGACGAAGTCCGCAGCCGTTGCGCTCCCGTTCTGTCTAGGCTGGATCCTGGAGGAGGAGGAGGAGGCAGAGGAGTAGGAGGTCTCCTTAGCCAGCAGGAAGGGAGCAACTTCTTTGTCAGATTCTGCTCGATCAAGTTACAAGGCCCTCAAGGTTCAAGTGCAGGGAGGATGACTACCTTCAAAGCTTCCGTTCTCCATGCTCGCTCCCTCCTCCCTCCTCCCTTCCTTCCGCTCTCCTTTCTTTCCCCTCCTCTCCTCTTTCCGCTCTTCTCTCTCTGCCTTCTCCACCTCTTCTCTTTGCTCCGTTTTCGCTCCATTCCCATCCTCCGCCTTCGTCCCCTCCTCCTCCTTTCCTCCCGGGAGATTCCCTGGTCTTTCGGGGGTCTCGCTCCTGTTCCTGATCTTGGAAGCGTAGTAACTGAACTTCACGCATACAGCTGGAGGGTTCTTCGACCTGCTCCCCCCCTTGAGCTCCAGTGGCAGCCAAATCTCTCCTCCTGTCTTGCCCTTGTCCTCCGCCTCCTGTTCCTCCTCCTCCTCACTCCAGATCGAGCTTCTGTGCTGAGACTTGACATGCTCTGTAATGTCGACCTCCCCCGTCGCGTACTCCACCTCCTGCCTGTGGACAGTGGAGGAGGAGACGAGCTGTGGGCGGGTCCTGTACTGAACGATCCTCAGGCTCATCCTCCTCGACTCTCTGTTCAGCGAGAAGTTCATCCGCTGGTTCCAGTGCACCGACGTCCCTCTCCCCTCCACCTCGTTGGTGCTCAGAGTGATAGGAGCGATACTAATCTCACAGCTGTAGGCCAGGGGGATGCCGTCGGAGCTCGGGCTCAGGTGCTTTCCTCGCATCACCCACACCTCCAGGAAGCCTTCGGTCTTGCCGTCCATCTCCGGCGACTGCAGCGAGTACACGTAGTCCTCCCGGTGAACGAGCATGTCGGCGCTGGGGGACGTGATGACGTAGGGGACCGGGTTCGACTTCTCCGACTTGCGGTAGATGCCAAGGGGCAGCGTCATGCACTTGAGGACGAGGTACTGGAAGAGCTGGATGTAGGGCTTGCCCTCGAAGTCGACGGGGACGGGGAAGAAGGAGAGCTGAGAGGGATGCAGGTTGGGGACCGAGTAGATGGGAGTGTCGCAGTTGTTGACCACCAGTTCACGGAGGATGCGGACGAGGTTGACGTTGTAGTAGGCCTGCACTGCGAGCTTGTCGAGCACAGAGTTGACGTACACCATCCCCGCGGCGAACGGGACGGCCCCGTCGATGTCGAGGAAGCCGAGGTTCTTGGAGTTGACGATCTCGCACACGATGTGGACCTCGGGCCGGACTTTGGTGATGGACTGGTAGACGAAGAGCGCATCCGCGTCTACCAGGTAGCTATGGGCCTCCAGGTCGTTGCGGTTGACGAGGCCGTTGGAGTTTGACAAGATGATGACCTTGCTGAGGCCCAGGAGCCCAGCGCGAACAAGGTCCTGCGTCTCCAGCGGGGAGCCCTGGATGTAGTAGACGCCGGGGAAGTGGCAGAGCTCGTTCCAGAGCTTGGGGGGCGGGAGCTCGGGGTTAAGGATGACGATGGGAGGGAGGAGGTCGCGGGAGATGTGCTTCGGCCGGAGGGTCGCGACGAAGTGATGCAGGTCATTGTGCATACCGCAGATCAGGACGTGACCTGTCATGGTCTCTAGCGTGCTCATGGTGCGCGACTCGATCGAGACCGGGTCGCTCGTGACGTGGTACACGCGCTCGAGCCTGGACATGAGTTGGGAAGTGTAGACGATGGTCGAGTCGTCCTGCGGGTACTTGCCCGTGGTCGTCAGCTGGGCGCTCCCCAACTCCTCCGAGAGGTTGTCCTCCTCCTCCTCGAGACCAAAGGTCCTCACTGAGTCCGCGTCCTCGACGTCCTCTGCGATCAGGAAGACGACGGGGCTGGTGTTGGGAGGGATCCGGTAGCGGGCAGGGTTGAGGATGACCCTGCTGTACCCTAGCGTGTCGGTGATCTCAACGGCAAACAGCGTTGCTCCTGTAACCCTGTAAAGCTGGGAGCAAACTTCGTTGAAGGTCATGCCCCCGAAAGAGGGGCTGAGGGTCGTGCAGTATATCTCTTTGCCGCTCCCCGACAGGTACTCCGTCATCCATCGCTCGCACTCGTCGCCGCTCTGACCGGAGGAGATCATGAGGTTGGATATGAGAGTTGAGAAGCCAGGGCACAGGCAGCTCTTGCCCAGCAGGTTCATCTTGATTTCGTCCATGCAGATGATCTGCACGTCCGTACCCCCGCACGTGGACACGTTGAGGTGATGACGGTTCTCCGGCCTCAGCAGCTGCAGGATGATGCGGATATCCTCCCCGGGCCTCCGAGCGCTGACGTACTTCTTGATGCTGATCGCGCGAATGATGTTGCTGCTGTCCTCTGCGAAGGGATCCTCCGCGAACTTGTCACAGAGGATGAAGACGCAAAGGCAGTTGATGATGTCTGCCCTCTGAAGGTCCTTGTCGACCAACGCTGAGCCCTCGAGGTACACCGTGCGGAGCGAGTAGTTGGCGCTGCTCAGGAGGGAGAGGAGGGACGCGCTGGGGACCTGGTTGCCGAGGATAACTACCTTAGTGTCGCTCATGCCGTGATCGGGATGAAAGAACTCTTCCAGGAAGTCTCGGATGGATGAGTGGGTCACGTTACCGCAGAGCAGCACGTGCGGGTACTTTGCCGACTGGTAGGTCGCGCGGGCCCATGGGGAAGCCATAGAAAGGAGCTCCATCAGCTTGTTGATCTGAAGGAGAGCTCAGATGGAAGGTACAGCTGAAGCCGAGGGGAGGAAGCGGAGCAGAGGGAGGGGGAGGGGGAGGGGGAGGGAGAGGGGGAGAGGGGGAGAAGGGGAGAAGGAGGGGATAGCAAGTAAGGTGGGGCGGGAATGGAAAGAGTGCGTGAGGGTTCAGAAGTTCAGATGAGGAAAGAGATACAACAGGATGTGCAGGAGGAACAGGATTGAAGCAGGAGCATGCATCAACGATGAGGAAAAGTCCCAACCTGGTCGGTGATGGTCGCAAGAGAAGAGAGGATCATAATCATCGTAAGGAACTTTCCCAGGACCGTCGTCGGATAGAAATCTCCATACCCCACGGTGGAAACTGCGTGCAAGTGAGCGAAGGGCAACAAGAGCAGAACCTCCAAGCTGTCAACCTGTAATGATGGTGAAGTAGACAGCATCGTGGAAGGAGAAGCCTGGCTCTGGGTGGTTCCAGATATCCGCTAGGTCCTCGGGCGATCGAAACGTGAGCTCGACGACTTGAATCAGCCCGGCAAAGCAGAAGATCAAACTCAGAGCCGTCAGAACCATGGTAAAGATCTGCCGCGTCACTTCTGTTCCCACTTGCGGCCGGCCGCGGGTTGTGCGGATCAGCCGCAGGACTCGTAAGAGTTTGAGGACGCGGACGAATCGGAGGAAGTTGAGCTTAGAAGCCTTGTCGACAGGAGAGGACTGGGCGTTCATAGACTGCTTCACTGCAAAGATCACAAGGGCCGGCATGATTGTGACAAAGTCAACCACTATGAGGGGCTGAATGAGGTGCTTCAGACGGCTCTCCGCCGCGTACAGGTAGATGACGAAGTCCGACAGGAAGATGAAGGTGATGATCAGCTCGATCTGCTCCAGAGAGCTCAGCACATTCTTCTGAGATTCCGAAACGACACTCAGGTCGGGAAAGTACGTCTGGTAGATGTAGATGCCGACAGAGAGCAGGCTGAAGATACAAGTGGAGAGGTCGAACAGGAGTCCCCAGAAAGAGCTCAGGAGCCATGAAGCGAAGTCCTTGCGCGTTCGCTCGGCTTCTTCCGACGCTGCTGCGAACGCTAACTTGAATTTCCCCCAGTAATTGCCCATCCCGCCCTACTGTCCCTCCCGAACTGTCTTGAGCAGACCCCGGCCCTTGCGCTAACTCGCCTCAATCAGCTTACTCACAATCGGCGATCGATTCCTCGTCTGTTAGATTGCGTGCTAACGCATCCTTCCCTTCTCCTCCTCTCCTCCTCTCCTCCTCTCCTCCTCTCCTCCTCTTCTGTTCTCCCCTCTTGCGTGCATCAGCCACCGCAGTGCCGAAATTGGACTGCAGTTTCCAATTCCAATTCTATAGAATCATTTCGGAATTTGTACTGATATCTCGAGATTTTATTGAAATTTCATCAGACTGTGCAATTATTTATTGTCAAAGTTGACAAGAATACTGTTTCTAGTCTAAAAAAAGAACGTCAAATGTAAAGCGCTACAAAAAGCAAGAAGGACGAGGCTGACAATGATGGTGTAGGAGGAGCAGGTGCAGCGCTGGCCCGAGCTCGGAACCTGCCGATGCTCGTCTGATGAGACGCAGCGCCATGACAAGGGACCTGTGGAACCGTCTCGGCGGAAGGACTCCGGGAGACGCACCGAGCTGGTTGTAGGATACGAGCAAGAGAAGCAGCGTGTTTCTCAACCCCTCAATGATAATGTGAGGATGGACTTCTAAAAAGTTTTCTCAACTCTATGGGAAGTGACCCTCCCTTGGTCTGCCCCCCTAACCCTCCGGTCATCGGGTCGTCGTCCTCCTATTTTCACCCGGGGACTGGAGGAAAACACTTCGCACATGGAAGATTCAAGTAAAACGCATGACGTCCCTGTCCCCTCCCGGTCCTCCCTGTCTTACTCTGCCCGTCCTGTCTTGCCCGCAATCGCCTTTCTCTTGCAGGAGGAGGTAAGAAAGGGTCAGTCAGAACAAGGGAGGTAGGAAGGTGGAAGGCGTATAGGAGGGAACCTGACGGCAGGAATCAGGCATTAGCCTGCCCGCCCTCAGGCCCTCAGGTTTAGGGAGGAAGGGAGGAAGGGAGGAAGGGAGGGCAGGCAGGCTGAAGGGTGGATGGAGGTGCCGAAAGACGAGCTGTAAAAAAGGCAAGAGAGACAAGAAAGCGCGAGAGTTTGAAGTAACAAGGGGGCGTGTTGAAAATGATAGATTACAGCACAGCAACCCACATGTAAGGGGCAAAACGATTTTAAGTTGAGGAGCCGCGATTGAGAGGCAACGCACAACAAGGCGCAAGTGAGTAGATTTTGATCCAATCATATTGTGGCATAAATTCACAGTCAGGGTTATCTAGATTGTAGTTTGCATCCATGAATTTCGTCGACTCAATGATTTTGAGTCCAAAGCAGAATGACTCGTAATTTGACAAGGATTTTAACTCGAGAATGCGATCCTTGGTCATGTCTGATTTTGCACAACCAACATGTCTCAAACTTTCATTTTCATTTTTCTACTGAATTCGTTCCTGCCAGCCATTATTTTCAATGAGCATCACTGATTTAAAGGTCAGGCTTTGGCCATCGGCTCCTGCCATTAACTTTCCTCTGCGGGTGAAATCTCGCCCTGCTGCACATGCTTTCACAAGCTTCATTGCCTGGATGTGCCGTGAGGGAAAAATTGCCCTGTTGTAGCACTCCGCCTCATTGATTTATTAGGCAGAATCAAGGGGGCAGTTCAAAATTCCTATTGAACCACTAGGAGAGACCTCATGCACTGCCCACCGGATACACCTTCCGACTCCGAGCTCAAAGTTAAGTTAAAAAAGTCAGTACTCCGAACATTGTTGACTGGATGATTTTTTAAAAAAATAAGTCGGCCTTTTTAAAAAAACTGACCAGTGGCATTTTTAAAATGGTGTATGAAGATTACTACAGTAAAAAAGGGTGGAGGTCAGCGACGATCTTTTTAAAAACCTCGTTGTTGATTTAACTTAACTTTGAGTAAAACATTTAAACTACACTGACGTTGATATCTCCTGCTGCCGGGCCGGGGCCGGGGCCGGGCTGGTCGGCCCGCCATGATGGCGCACTAAAGTTTACTCAAACAAGTAGTTGGCTGGTAGCACATTTTTACTTATTGCTATGATGAGTGGAAGTTTAAAAAAAAAAAAAGGATGGTCACTTGGCAACAATGGCGCCGGCTGGTTCGGTTCATTATAGCCGGCGTCAGCAAACGTCTCTATAACTGCTTATAGTTCTATAAGTAGTTGACTTGATTTCAAAACAAATTGCTGATTTCGCCGGTCCACGTCTCCTCCCCAGTTTACTAGGGTACCCGAGTCGTATCAGAGGTCCTAGGATACTAGCATTTTTCTACGAAACTTGATATCTACAAAAGCCTTTTAAAAGTGTCTGTCATATCAGTACCCACCACCCTCGTCTGGATGTTTACACATACCCTAAAGGACAGGATGGGCCCCACCCACATCCCGAATGACCCACACCCTTTTTACTTTTTTTTGAACTACCCTATAATCTCCTTGGCTTCGGATAATAATGGACCCCTAGTCATTTGATCACACTACAAATGACTACCCCACCCCTACACTAAAATGAATCACCATCCTATAACGGGTGTAGTACCCCCAAGTTGAATTGCCGGGTTCATGCTACGGCCCTAGTATACCCCACCCTATCACCTTCTACCCTGCCCTGCCCTACCCTACCCTACCCTACCCTACCTTACCCTACTACAACTCCATATGGTGATAACTTTTTCCCCCACACTGTGATCCGCTCTGTATCACTACCCTACCCCCTATTTCCCCATGTTAAATAGGACTCGGACCACCTCCTTCAGACAACATACCCCGCCCCCACTTCACTTTTTTTTTAATACCCCACCTTTTGTTAATTTAGTTGCAAGCACCCCCACCCCTCTATCTAAACAAAAACCACCCAAAGTCATGGTCCATTTTAGCCACCACCGGTTTATTGTTGCCCCCAGTCATTCGTACCAGCACAATGACCCCACCACTTCTCGGGCAATATCTGGTTGATCACCCCCTCTTTTCCACAATCGAAGTACCCCTACCCACCTTTTTCCCCTGTGACGAAGGTACATTGCGAAGGTTTTGCGAATCCTTCAGTACCCCTACCCAATCTTCCCTGATGACCCCTAGTGACTAGGACTGTCTAGTAACACCCTTCCACACCTCACCCCCTCGGAACTACCCACCCCACCCTCCCTAGATAGCTGTCGCGTCCAGCCTTCGAAAATCGCCACCCTCCTCTGCTGTCCCTCAAGCACATCCACCTTTGTTGACTTGTTGCTCTTTCTCGCTCTAGTCCTCCTCCTCCTCCTCCTCCTCCTCCTCCTCCTTCCTCCATCTCACCCTCTCATCTCCCGTTCTTCTATCTCTCACCTTCCTCCTCTGCGCATCCCTTCCCTCACAGCTTAAAGGCAACTCCTGCTCCTCCCTTTGCCGAAGCTCTCTGTTTGTTGTCCTCTTCGTCGTTATTTGACGCTCCTTTCTTTCAAAAAATCTTCTTCGATCTCTCTCAAGTATGCAGCAGCTTCCATTGGGGATGCAGCATCCTCTAGCGAACTTCGCTGTCTCACAGAGCATCCAGCAGCGTTGTGGCCTGCAAGCACCTAATGCGCCCCCAGAGAATGCGCAGATTGCCATAGGACTGAACTCTTTTCTTCTCCGAGGAATACAAGACAAGAGTGCTGGACAGGCTTTCAATCCCAACGAATGCCATTTGCCCGGCATACAGGCGAACCCTCACGTGACCATGGGCCCTGTCAACACCGTGAGCGGCATGAACCCCGTGTTGCACCTGGGAATGTCTTCCGCGTTCACATGCGTTAGAGATGCTCTCAAAGGAGCCGATGAATCTGCGTCCATCCAGTCTGCTGTTCAGAGCATAACGGCATCTGCACAGGCCATGGCACAGAACATCCATGTTTCACAGCCTTTCAGTGCTGATGACAGCAAAGCGCAAGGGTCTGATGAGGTGATTTTACTGTTTCTCTTTGTTGAGATTATGTCTGTCTAATTGTTGCAGTCTTCTTTCTCTGAATTCTGTGTGTGACACCTAGAAAATGTTTCCCTGTTTGTTTACTTCTTTGGATCATATTTTGACAAGTACTCTTAGGATGACAGCAAGAAGAAGTCTTTGATTGGTGCGGAGCTTGCTGCCAGAATCTATGCCATGCGGCCTCCTCGCACACAAGTTGGAGGACAGTTCAACGCTGCACAGGGCCTATCGCCAACTGCCGTCGGGAACCTGTTTGGAGTGAGCTCCAAGGTAGTGAGAGACATTTGGAATCGAAGGACATGGATCGAAGCGACGAGATCCTTGTGGTCGGACTTCGAAGTCGCCTCGCACCTGATCGAGATGAAGACAGCTGACCCCGACCTGGCCAACAAGCTCGCCAAGTTCAAGCCTCTGATCTTGAAGAGGAAGCCTGGCCGGCCCCCCGGTGCCAAGGACTTCGTCCCGAGGCAGAGGAGGAAGAGGGACGTCACTTCGGGGGCGAGCCAGGAGAATGCAGAGACAGCAACCGGGCAGACGACATCGCAGCCACAGCAGTTGCCAGCAGCCGCTACTCCTTCCCTCGTCGCTGGCAACCCCCTCGCTTCCAACTTGCAACTTTGCACACAGGCCATCGCGCAGAGCCTCGTCAACCCTGTGCTGAAGCTGGAGAGAAACTTGGCCGGGTTGGAGCAATCTGCAGTGCGCACTGCACAGGATGCGATGGGGGGGCACCAGGGACACCATGAGGAAGGGATCTTGAGCATCAACCAGGCGGATCCGTTCGCGTCTGACTGGCAGCACTTGTTGAAGGAGTCGGACGTGATGGTGTAAATACAGTCTAGCAAGAAGCCTCTCCCTCCTGTCTAATTGTGTATTTGAAATCTCTAGGCGACATTATAAAAGATCCAGTAAATGCAAATCGAGTTTGCTCAGGACTCCCTCTTGAGTTTCCCCATAGGGTACTGACGTGTCCAGATAGTCGCCAGCCATTTCTCCCCCTTCTTGACGGGAAGCGACTGCAGCGGGTCAGGTAGCAGGCAAGTGGAACATCCTTGTCACCTCGTGCTGCGTCCTCGGGTCTGGGACCCCCCGGACATCGGCAGGGAAGAATAAGAGGGCGTCTCCCTTGCGCGGCGAGAACTTGGTGCCTTGCTGGAGTCAAGAAGCAAGAGGTAGGGAGGAGGGAGGGAGGAGGGAGGGAGGGAGGGAGGGGAGGGAGGGAGGGAGGGAGGGAGGGAGGGAGGGAGGGAGGGAGGGAGGGAGGGAGGACGGGGA